AGGAAGGAAGGAAGGAAGGAAGGAAGGAAAAGATGAAGAAAGTTGAAAGAGGGAGGGAGGAAGGAAGGAAGGAAAAGATGAAGAAGAAAGTTGAAAGAGGGAGGGAGGAAGGGAGAAAGGAAGGAAGGAAGGAAAAAAGGAAGGAAGGAAAAGATGAAGAAAGTTGAAAGAGGGAGGGAGGAAGGGAGGAAGGAAGGAAGGGGAAGGAGGGAAGAATAGGAAAGATGAGAAGGAGAAAAAGAAGTGGATGGAGAGAGGCAGGAAGGAAGGAAGGAAGGGAGGAGAAAGAAAGAAAGAAAGAAAGAAAGAAAGAAAGAAAGAAAGAAAGAAAGAAAGAAAGAAAGAAAGAAAGAATCAGTTTGATGGATAGAGGAGGGGATTTTCCTCCTGTCTGGAGAGATGCTCCAAATAAAATCCAGGCACCAAACCCCCCCATTCCTTCCCCCCTCCCGCTCTGGCATCTTTCCTCTGGGGGGGCCGGTGAGGACCCCAGGAGACCCTCCCTCACCTTCGTAGTGGGCGGCGCAGATGTTTCCCGTTCGGCAAGGCCGAACCCGTTTCCCCTTCTCGGCTGAAAAAGAGGGAGGGGGTTATTTTTTGGGGGGGGGGGTTGAAGGACCCCAGAGAATAAAACATCGGGGGTCAATTTTCCTGGCTGTCAGAGTACAAGCAGTCCTCGAGTTACAACGGTTCATTTAGTGACCGTTCAAAAGTTACCACGGCACTGAGAAAAGTGACTTAAATGCCCCTTTTTCACACTTACGACCGTTGCCGCATCCTCGGGGTCACGGGATGGAAATTCCAGACGCTCGGTAACCGATTCGCGTTTACGACGGCGTCGCTGTGTCTCCCGGGGGTTGTGTGATCCCCTTTGGCGACCTTCTGACACGCAAAGTCCATGGGGGGGGAATCCAGATTCACTTAGCGACCGTGTTACTTAACAACGGTGGCCCCGCCAAAAGAAATCCCGTCAAAAGGGACCAAACTCATTTAACAAAATGTTTCACTTAGTGACAGAAATTTTGGGCTCCATCGCGGTCGTAAGTCGAGGACCACCCGTAGAAGGCAGAGAGGAAGCAATTGCTCTCCGCCCTAACCGAATCGTGTGGGTGGTCCTCCGCTTACGACCCACAATTGGGACAGGTTTCGTGGCTAAGCAAGGTGTCCGTTGACCGAATCGTGCTCGGTTTGGCAAGTTTTGCCGCGGCCGCTAAGCAAATCTGTGCAGTCGTTCAGCGAATCTGGCTCTCCCCCCCCATTGACTCTGCTTGTCGGAAGCCGGTTGGGAAGGTCACAAAGGGCGATCACGTGACCACGGGGATGCTGCAGTGGTCGTAAGTGCGAGGACCGATTGCAAGTCCCTTTTTTTCAGCGCTGCTGTGATTTTAAACCAGGCAGCTCCAAACTTGTTGACTTTCAGACTTGTGGACTTCAACTCCCAGAATTCCTCAGCCACAAGTCATAAGAGGGTCATAGTTCCCTCACGCTGGCTGAGGAATTCTGGGAGTTGAAGTCCACAAGTCATAAAGGGGTCATAGTTCCCTCGCGCTGGCTGAGGAATTCTGGGAGTTGAAGTCCAAAAATCATGAAAGAGTAATAGTTCCCTCATGCTGGCTGAGGAATTCTGGGAGTTGAAGTCCACAAGTCATAAAGGGGTCATAGTTCCCTCACGCTGGCTGAGGAATTCTGGGAGTTGAAGTCCACAAGTCATCAAAGGGCCAAGTTGGAAGACCCCTGCTTATGGACTTCAACTCCCAGAATTCCTCAGCCATAAGTCATAAAAGGGTCAGTTCCCTCACGCTGGCTGAGGAATTCTGGGAGTTGAAGTCCACAAGTCATCAAAGGGCCAAGTTGGAAGACCCCTGCTTATGGACTTCAACTCCCAGAATTCCTCAGCCATAAGTCATAAAAGGGTCAGTTCTCTCACGCTGGCTGAGGAATTCTGGGAGTTGAAGTCCACAAGTCATAATAGGATCATAGTTCCCTCATGCTGGTTGAGGAATTCTGGGAGTTGAAGTCCACAAGTCATAATAGGATCATAGTTCCCTCACGCCGGCTGAGGAATTCTGGGAGTTGAAGTCCACAAGTCTGAACGTCAATAAGTTTGGAGACCTGAGCTTTAAACAGTCGCTAAATGAGTAATTGTTAAGTCGAGGACTTTTGTGCATTCTGCCCAGTCTTCGAAGGAGCGACTCACCTTGCCTTCGATGCCGCAGCGCCCCCTGCTGGGCAAAATGGTGCAGGAACTTCCCTTGGTTGTTCCAGCTGGAGGAGAGCACCACCTAAAGGAGTTGAGAGGTACTGCAGGTTAACGCCAAATTTGGGGGGGTTGGTAGAATCAACCCCAAATTCCAATTCAAATCCCTAATTTGGCAAAAGCAGCTTTGCAGCCCCTACGAAGCACATCAACCCCAAAACATGGGACGCGCTCAGCGAACGTCTCGAAGCAGCGAGCCAAGCTGCGTGTTACACGGAAAGGTAGCCAGCTTTGTCGGCATGTAACAATCCACAAAGGAATTGGACCAATTCTTCTTCTGGTCCACCCCCAATTCTCCCTTGGTTTTTCCTTCTTCTTTCCCACCACAAAAAGCAAATTGTTGCACGTTTGCGGCTTCATCTCTTAAAATCAATTACAAAATTCAATCTCTAGCACACCCCCCCCCACAAAAGAAAAGAAATTTAAGTCTAAGAGAGCATCAGAACGAGATTTTCCAGATTTACAAAACAGGCGCCGGACTCATTCCTCAACAGCATTTACTCATGCTAGACTTATGGAACCTCCATGTTCAGAGGCAGTCTACTCCAGAATACCAATATCTTGGGGAACAAACGAGGAAAAGCAGGGGGTTGGACTAGAAGACCTCCAAGGTCCCTTTGTTATTCTATTCTGTTCTGTTCTATTCTATTCTATATTTTATTATTCTATTCTATTCTACATTTTATTATTCTATTCTATTCTATTCTATATTTTATTATTTTATTCTGTTCTATTCTATTCTGTTCTGTTCTATTCTAGTCTACATTTTATTATTCTATTCTATTCTTTTCTGTTTTATTCTTCGAACAGTGACTAAATGAACTGTTGTTAAGCTGAGGATTGCAGATGGCAGAAAACAGCCCATTGCACAAAGTTGCCAATAATAACAATAACAATAACAACAATAAATTTGGAAGGGACCCCCTACTCAGGCAGAAAATCCTATACCATTTCGGACAAATGGCTGTCCAGTCTCTTCTTAAAAGCTTCCAGTGTTGGAGGGAGGGAGGGAGGGAGGGAGGAAGGAAGGAAGGAAGGAAGGAACGAAGAAAGGAAGGAAAGAAAAAAAAGAGACTCGGAAGGAACCTTGGAGGTCATCTAGTCCAACCCCCTGCCCCGGCAGGAAACCTTAACCCATTTCAGACAAATGGCTGTCCAGTGCATGCCAAATAAAATTCTTCACCGCGGTGGGGCAAAAACATCCGTTCGCTTACCGGGTCCAGCTCCTCCGACAGCAGTTTCTGAGGAACAAAAAGAAGAGCTCAAGTCAAGCCACTGAACTACACAAACCATCCTCCCCAACTTTGTCACAATTTCCAAAGAGTGAAGAGGTCAATTTGAAAATCGAAACCCTTTTTTTTTTTTTGCATGTGTGCCTGGCTGAGGAATTCTGGGAGTTGAAGTCCACAAGCAGGGGCCTTCAAACCTGCCCCTTTGATGACTGGTGGACTTCAACTCCCAGAATTCCTCAGCCAGCGTGAGGGAACTAGGACCCCTTTACGACTCGTGGACTTCAACTCCCAGAATTCCTCAGCCAGCCTGAGGGAACTAGGACCCCTTTATGACTTGTGGACTTCAACTCCCAGAATTCTTCAGCCAGCGTGAGGGAACTAGGACCCTTTTATGACTCGTGGACTTCAACTCCCAGAATTCCTCAGCCAGTGTGCCTGGCTAGGGAATTCTGGGAGTTGAACTCCAGAGGTCATCAACGGGCCAAGATTGAAGACCCCTGTTTTAAAGTGTTTGCCCACCAATCAGGGCTTATGCTTGAAGAGGAGATGGGGGGGGGCAATTCCTCCATGGGAAAAGTTTGAAATTTAGTTGAGGGGTGGTGGTGGTGAGCAGGCCCGAGCGGAGGTTGCTATGGCAACATAGCAAAACAGATGTCCCAATTCCCCAGCTGTTTGGGCCTTGCAGAACAAAACAAAACAAAAATAATTTTAAAAAAGCAGATTTGCGGATTGTTTTGCGCTCAGCTGGCGGCGAGAGGTTTTTAAAATAAAATTAAAAAATGCGCAGGTTGGCAGGAGGCCAAGCTCATCTATCTTTAGCTCCAGCAAACGGAACAGACCTCAAAATCACGAGGTTTTTTTTTTAAAAATATATACGTATATATATTATTGGGCTGGGGATGCAGGCCTTCCAGATGTGGGGCTGGAGGGCTGCAACATCTGGGGACACCTGTTTGGGGCGTGCGGGGGTGGGCCGGGCCTGCAATCGTCCCCTAGTTCTGTTTAATAACTCTCTTTTTGCTCCGGCGCGCAGAGTTCAAACCACGTGATTAGAAAAAACAACAACCAAAGATCCAAAAATGTTTTTCTGGCATAAAAAGTATTTTTTTTCCCAGCCGATTGTAATAAATAAAAAGAAAAAAAAAATAGCATTAAAGCAGCAGAGTTTATCTGGGCAGAATTAGGCAGTGTTGAGAAGAAAAGTTCTCGCAAACAAGGCAGTGGGTACGGATATGGACTCCCCGAGCCCTCTGCACACGCTCCGTGGTTCTCATCCTCTGTCAACCTATTTGTTTTATTTTGATTTATTGATCTGTTTGTATCCTGCCTTCCTTATTTTTACAAGCCAGCCAAGGCGGGGAACATATCAAAGACGTGTTCCTCCTCCTATTAAACCATCACAACATCCCCGTGAGAGGGATTGGGCCAACGTCGCCCAGCTGGCTTTCATGGTTAAGGCACAACTAGAATTCCCTGTCACCTGGTGGTTGGTCCAAAATCACGCAGCTGGCTTTCATGGCTAGTGCGGGACTAGAATTCCCAGTTTGCTGGAGGTTGGCTCCAAGTCACCCAGTTGGTTTTCATGCCTAAATTGGAACTAGAACTCATCGTCTCCTGGTGATTGGCGTAAAGTCACCCAGCTGGCTTTCGTGCCTAAGGCGGGACTAGAACTCCCTGTCACCCGGTGATTGGCCCAAAGTCACCCAGCTGGCTTTCATGCCTAAGGCGGGACTAGAATTCCCTGTCACCCGGTGATTGGCCCAGAGTCACCCAGCTGGCTTTCATGCCTAAGGCGGGACTAGAACTCCCTGTCACCTGGTGACTGGCCCAAAGTCACCCAGTTGGTTTTCATGCCTAAGGTGGGACTAGAACTCCCTGTCGCCTGGTGATTGGCCCAAAGTCACCCAGCTG